CTCTCACCCCTCTTCCCTTTCCCCCTCCCCTCCCCTTCCCCCCATTCCTCTACCCCTCCCCTCACACTCCCCCCATCCCTCTCACCCCTCTTCCCTCCCCCCATCCCCCTCCCCACATCCCTCTCACCCATCTTCCCTTTCCCCCCTCCCCTCCCCCCATCCCTCCCCCCCTACCACCTCCCCGACCCCACTCCCCCCCCATCCCTCCCCAACACTTACCCGTGAGCTTGACCCCACAGTGGCGGGGGGAAGGGCGGACGATGTCGTAGCAGCACTCCCTTCCTGGGGGGTACTGGTTGGGGAAGTTGGGGGACTCCAGCACCCCCGTCTCCCCCTCGAAGGAGTAGTAACAGCTGGGCTCCCTGATCACGTCTGGGTTTCGGGTATGGGGGGAGGGGGGGAAGGGAGAGGGAGGGGGGAGAGGTGGGAAGGGAGGTAGGAAGGGAAGGTGGAGGGGGAGGGGGGGAGGTAGGAAGGGAGGGTGGAATGTAGGGGGAGAGTGAAGGGGGGAGGGATGGAGAGGTAGGTAGGGGAGAGGATGGAGGGGAAGCGAGGGATGGTGGAAGGGAAGGGAAGTGGAGGGAGGGGGAGGGAAAAGAGAAAGATAGGTTTATAATTAGTATAATATTTGTTAGGTGAAAAAAGTATCTTATATCTATAATTACAACTATCTGCGATTTTGGACAGTATATCTAAATCTAGTTGTATCTACGTGTCTATCTACCTGTCTGTCCATTTATATGTGCAGGAGGGGGGGGGGGTATTCAACCTACCAGCCTTAATAAATTAATAGATTATATCACTACAAATATATTACAAAAATACATAAAAATACATAGATTTTGAGGAGACTTTTATAACACGAAAACAAAATAAAGAGATGTATATTCTTGGTTGCAGCTGTACTTGCAAGGTAGTTCAATATGCAATATCTAAGAAATCGAGTATAAATTTTGCAATGAAGAAATGAATGTTAACAGTTGTACATTCTATCCCTTAGTACCCTGCAATACAGTCATTTAAGTTACATTGCATGGTGTATGAAAGTTTATTTAACACATTTGTCTTATTTCATATACTAGAAATTATAATATTTTTTTACCTTAAATTTGGAATGTAATACAATGTTATGGCCATATGTCAAATCAAAAAATAAAATAAGATACAGCTGTATGCTTACTGTATCGACTCTGATACAAAAGGAAAGCGTAGTCAAGTTATATCCTAAATTCATAATGTAGTATCAAAAAAAAAATCATGATCATATACCAAATATACCGAAGCTTAGCCACGCCCCCTTAGTGTCCCTCGGTGGTTTTTAAAACAAAGTAAATCGACTGGTAGAAACGCTTGTTATGGGGCCCAGATGGCGTCGAACTGTGGAGTGCATTGTCCGCAGACATTTTGGTCCTCCTCGTAAGTGCAAATTGCATTGATATAAAAACATGAAGCTGTCATAATAAGGTACAGCATTAGCATACATATACACGCTTCATGCATATATATATATATATATATATATATATATATATATATATATATATATATATATATATATATGTATATATATATATATATATATATATATATATATATATATATATATATATATATAACCCATATATGTACATACATATATATATATATATATATATATAATATATATATATATATATATATATATTATATATATATATATATATTTATATTTATATATACTTACACAAATGTATGGTCAGATAGCTTTGATTTTATACACACAACCACACACACGCACGTGTGTGTGTGTGTGGGTGTGCAATATATAAATTATATATATGTAATATCTTTATATATATATACATATATACAATATATAATATATATATATATATATATATATATATATATATATATATATATATATATATATATGGATATATACATACTACATATATATATATATATATATATATATATATATATATATATATATATATATACTATATATATATATATATATATATATATATATATATATATATATATGCATATATACATACATATAATATATATATATATATATATATATATATATATATATATATATATACATATATATATATATATATATATATACATATATATATATATATATATATATATACATGCATATATTTATATATATAATATTTATACAATCATTAATATACATATATACATTTATATATAATATACATATAATACATATGCTCGCACGCACACACAGTAAGCAACTATATAACATACAGCCAAAGCAACAAGCAGTTAAGCAGCCACTTAACAGAACCATACAACCTAATAACCAAATTGCAAATGATCTGTTTCTTGTCAGTCATATCAACTTTGACCTCCAAATGCGTGGTCAACCCTCTTCTGACGTCACCGAAGCCGTTACATAATGAAAGAAATAAAAATCATACTTTATCACATCAGGGATAATTCGGTTTGTGTGCATCGTCAGCAAATGGGCGTGCCTCGA